AAAATCAATCTGAATAAGAGACCTATAGATCAAAAAAAAAAAAAAAAGAGAGAGAGAGACAGAGTCTTGCTAAATCACCAAGTTGCCAGGACGTTTTCAAGCTTGTGATCCTCCTGCTTCAGTCTCCCAGTAGCTTCAGTGACAGGCGTGTGTCACCACACCCAGCTTGCCCTTCTCTTCTTTGGGACGACTGCTGCTCCTGTGACTGTCCTGCCCCTCATCACCCAGAAGCTGAGAGGAACTTTCCAGAACACAGCTGGGAGCCCGGCATCCCAGCCGCAAACCCTCCAGCAGGGATCTTCCCCCTGCCTTAACGGAACCACTCAGGTTCTTTGGTGACGCCCGCTCCCCCATGAGGACCATGAGTGTGAACGGTGCCATTGTCACCGCACAGACGCAGACCCCCCCCTTGCCACCTGTGTCCTCCTTTCTGCTCCTAGCCATGTTGCACGGCCCTGGCGTGGGCCTCTCCTGTCACCAGGGCTGCGCCTCCCCCTCCCTGCTCACGATTGTCACTGTGTGTGTTAAGGGTGCCAAGGTCCACCCCTCTTGGTGCCAGTGGCCTGTGGTCAGGGAAGGCCAGGGAGGGACCCGATCAAGTGGGTCCCTGAGGGCTCAAGGGGCTGCTGCTGAACCTCGGACATGCCCCAGGGCCAGTGCACAGGAAGCCCCGGAGGGGCCTGGACATCCCCGACACCCTCCTGCCAACCCACCCCTGGGGGAGGCCCGAGACTCCCCGTGCACCAGCCTTCCCCAGGCACCGAGAAGAGTGGGATTTGCCTGCAGCCACAGAGCTGCCCTAAGACCCCCTTGCCCCTCGGAGCCCCGGGACTCACCGCTTCATGCCGCCAGGAGGAATGGCCTGGCGAACCCGGAGGCACAGCGCAAGGAAAGGCCGCGATGGTCCCCGTCGGGAGGCCCACAGGAGACAGGAGCCCCCCTCCTTGGCCCGCAGGCCCGGCGCAGGGACAGGGCTGAATGGGAGGCATTGTCGCCGCCGCCGCCGCCCGGGCCTGGGCGAGCTGGGGCTTCCCCAGGCTGTGGGCAGGGGTGGGGACAGCAGCTGCAGTTACAGGGCCTCCTGCCCGGCGCAGGCCCGGGAACTGGGCCCAGGACTGAGTCCCCAGGACACCCGGCAGGGAGGGGCCAGGAGGAGCCAGGCTGCAGGTTCCTGGTACCGGGCTCCCTTGGCAGGCTCTGAGGGATCCTGAGCAGGCCACCACTCTCTGAGCCTGTTTCCTGTTCTCTGCGAAACATTTAATGTTAGGAGCTTGCTCACGGGATTGGGTATGTAGTTGGTGGGAAGAGTGGTTAACCCCGTCCTTTCTGTGTGTACATGCATGCATTCAGTTGGATGCTGCACATACCTCTGCAAAGTTGATTTAGTTCATAAGATCCATTCTTGGGAGTTACCAAATCCATGCCTCTGAGGCATGCCCATTC